ACGCCTTCTATCATTGTCCCCAGGTCCACCCCGGACCCGGGGACAATGATAGAAGGCATGTGAAGCCGTTTCTTCTAAATCAAGGCCACACCATTCACAGACTGGCAAATCCGCCAAACCCCATATGAAGGCCTTGTCATTGAGCGGCAGCAGATTCCAAGTCAATCACCAGATAAGCGAAAACTCAGGGTTAGTGAGGTAATCTGCCACTGGCGCCCAAGACCAGCAAGAGTGAAACTCCTCCTCCAACAAGTCGAGCTCCTCACATAGGGAATCCTTCGCAACACCCTCCACTAAAAGACGAAAGAAGACCTTCCTAGGCCGAGAAAGGTCACTGGACCAACAAACGGCCAACAAGGCAGACCGACACTCGCGAAGGAAAACCGATTGATCCCAGAGTTTACAACAGCTCTCAACCTGTGAGATGGGGGGATCGATAGTAAGGCGAGGGAACACGTCCCTCACAGTCCCCTCCATAATAGGATCTCCACCTGTCAATGCGTAGCATAGGAAAGCCAACCTCGAGGGACGCCTGTGGCTCACCAAGTGTGGCATTCCCAGCACCCTATGACACGGACAACTTGTCACTTAACTGAGTGTTGTTATTTCACTCATGCCAACTCTGAAGTTTTGTGAGCACATTGTTGTAATGCTTTCAATTCTTCAGGGTTTTTGGCTTCTCAATCCTTACTTTTTGATATCAAGCACTATGATAAAAACCTGCCTGCCTAAATGCCTTTCCACCAGTAATCTCTTACAATACTATATATATATATATATATATTTTTTCACTCAAAATCAATAACAGAGCAAAATCTACTCTGCATTTGACCAATTCTAAACAAATTTTTAAAAATTGCTCTCCAGTGTCACCTTTCAGATTTTCAGACTAGTTTGGTTATTATTACATATCACACCACTTTATATTTCAATATGTACTGCTTCTCTTCCATTTATGTGGCAAAAAGAAAAAATAAATTGCGTATATGTTTTTTCTTTCTTATTAATTTTTATCATTGATAGTGGTGGTGCACTTATGTTTTAAGTTTCAGTTCCTATTGTATTAGTAGGAATTTCCTTTTATGTCTACACTTCATCATAATCTCTGATCTTTGTTTAACAAATTCTTGGAGTCTTGCTAATAATTTCTCCACCAAAAAAAAAAAAAAAAAACAAAAAAAAAACAGACTCTTGATACTTTTCTATAACTCACAATCTTCTTAAGTATGCTTCATTTCATTGTTGTAGTTATATTTCTTTCCTTTGCTTGTCCTAATAGAATGTTATGTCTTCATTACCTTGAATGAAGATAACACAATCAATAAGTAGTATGTCACTTGAAGTTGATGTAGTCTTGCTGAAATAGCTAGATGTCTAACTCACTACTTCCTTACCACTTCTACTGACAATTCTCTGTGTCCCTAATTATGTATTTGGATGAGTCCAGTTTCTCTTTTGGAGAGGTGTGTTCATCTCCACAACACCCACCACCATTTTAGATATGCATTTTCTTCCTTAGACAACACTCTTTTCAACATGGGTCCATTTCCAACATTTCCACTGGATTACATTTTCACTTACTTTTACATCATACTGTATTTTCAGTTGTAGGAATAGATATTTCAAAAGTATTGTATAGTATGTCCATTGGTAAATTCAATTGTACTGGTTGTGTATTCTGTGCATATCTAGACCTCAATTGATTAATACATTTCTTATGACGAAATCGTCCACTTTCAACAATGTACACCATACTACTAAGGCACTGAATAATTTTTCCTTCCTGCCAATTTTCTTTTCCAGCCTTAAAGTTTTTAATAAAAAAAACTTTATCACCGATCTTAAATGATCTGGTGGGTTGAAACTGACAAAATATTTTCTTACTCCCTGGCAGTAATTTGTCAACAATAGATCTCACTTTTCTAGCAAATATGAGCACTGCATGTGAGACTTTTGGGGTGACGTTTACATTTGACATCTGTGACACTATTTAGCTATGGTAATTGATTAACTAACAGTTGATAGATTCCTGATATTAATGAAAATCTTGGGATAACAAAGAAAACTGGTACACCTTGATAGGATTTTAATAAAACAGTTTATTTTAGTTGTTAATTAAACAGGTTTTCAAACTAGTAACTTCCTTTTCCCAATTCTAATGCTTAAAAATGATATGGAATTGTAAATTAAAATATAATAAATGTTAGAACAACTGTTGTATATGATTTCTCTCTCTCTTATATATATATATATATATATATATATATATATATATATATTTTAAGCTGGTGATGCCCTCATTTACTTGAGAGAGGCTTCAGCTTGCTATTATGATTGTTCTGCCCATATCTTGCATCACATGGAAATGCACTGTGCATTTTTACACAGATGACACCACAATTTATTCCTGCCTCAAAAAAAAATCTAGTGTCACTGACAAAAATAACCTGGCCGTGCGTTTCGAAAAGGACCTCCAATCGGTTGTGAACTGGGGCAGGAATTGGCTAGTCAACTTTAACACCGCAAAAACAAAACTGCTCTCTATTAATCACCACAGAGATCCTTCCCTGCCCTCCATTAGAATGTCTGACGCTCAACTTCGGGAGAGCACCTCTCTGTGGCTGCTCGGTCTCATGTTGATGGCTGACCTGAGATGGAACAAATACATTGAGTCAATTGTTTGGCCCACCGCAAGGAAAGTTGGCTCCTGTGCCACGCCAGGAAATTTTTCTCCCGGAATCGATCCTCCAGATCTACAAATCAACAATTCGACTTGTATGTAGTATTGCTGCCATATGGTCTGGAGCCCTTCTGTTTGCCTCGAGGTTCTTGATAGGCTCCAGAGGCGGATATGCAATATAATTGGCCTGATCTGGCATCTCGCTCTACAGTCACTTTCTCACAGACGTGCCGTCGCCTCTCTGTCTGTTTTACAAATACTTTCATGGCACTTGCTCCGAGGAGCTGCATTGCTGGTTCCCAGACTTCATGAGTTCAAGCGCCCGATGAGGCTGGCATCCCGCTCTCACCCCTTCACTGTGAAACTCCTAAATGTATCCGTCGCTTCTACTACAATAACCATGTCTTGCACCTCCGCCTGTGGAACTCCTTCCCTATTCCAGTTTCCCTGAGCTATAATCTCCAGCTATTCAAATGTAATGTCAATCTACATCTTCAGTGCGCCTTGATTTATCCACTACCCTTCTCCTCATCCTTTCTTCCTATCACCCCTATCTGATCTTGCTCCAAATTTTCTGTAACCTTGCATCCTAGTGGCTTCCCGCTTGGGGTTAAACACTTAAAAAAAAAAAAAAAAAATATATATGAGATTCAGCCTGTGACTGTCAACAACAATAATGTACTAATACAATAATATAGACACTTGATTAAGTTCTGATAACCTACTTCCTCAGAAAGTATTCTAGAAGAATATGCCTTTATATAAACAAATCACACAGCTCATGAACTGGCTCTTTCCTGCTGTCAGGACATGCGTTGTTTTTGACACTGTCTCCACGTTTTCTTTGTTTGCAAAAATGGTTTGCCCTACCTAAAAAAAATTTGGGGTTGTATATAGATTTAAATGTCAGTATGACACTGATTACATAGGGCAGACCAATCAGCACCATGAAAAATGGATTGTACATGTACCTTGTAGTGTTAGACAGGGTATTGTTACCTGTAATACATGTCTTATGCAGACAGTACAGGATTTTGTGATAGGCACTGACAAATATACAGATTCAACGTTTACTATTCTGGGGCAAAGCACGGTCAGCAAAACATCTGCATATTTTAAAAGTTTATATCAAATTACACTGGCTGTCTTTGTGTCAACAGAAAGAGAAATTTGTCCAGTCTCTTTCTTTACTAGGAGGCTTGTGAGTCTTGATTTTATATATATATATATATATATATATATATAAAAAAAAAAGTGGAACCATTTATTCTGGTTTTTGCCAAATTTTTTATATCATTTTAGTCGCAATCCTACATTTCCTCCTAGTCTGTCCTTTTGCAAATTTCATTAATATTTCATTTAGGTTGCCAAGGTGTTGTCCAAAAAAGTTACCTTAAAGGAAAAAAAAAAAATGATTTTATTTGTTCGACAGAGAGATAGATAGAGAAGTGGGTAAGTGAATGACAAAAGTGAAAAACTTCTTAATGATGCATTTAATTCGAACAAGAGATTGGTAACATTATTAATCTGCAGAAGTGCTTTCTGTAGATTAATAAACGCACCAGTCTCATATAAAAAGTAAGGAGGAAAAAAGGTAGGTAGAAAAAAAAATCTTAGTGGTTACATTGAAATGTTAAAGATAGTGAATTTAAATTTTGGCATCCATTGTATCTAGATGTTAACTTTGTATGGTTTAATATGGTATCAATACATGGTAAAACAAACAATACAGACTGTTTCTTGATATCATGTTAAACTGTACTGATAATGATCTAAAATTAAACATTTAACAAAATCAACTCAACCTTCTCACATTTCTACTTAAGGGCACTAACAATCTGAGACCATCAATATTTATAGTAAAAATAAAGTGAATATACTTTTAAAATCTTTCAATATCCTAATTATTTTACATAAACTTAGGTAAATTAATTAAAGTGGAAAGAATTCTGTGTGACACATTCCTTCTTTAGGATTTAATTGAACTACTAATGTAATGCTTTTTTGTTGATGGAATTGTGTGTGAGGAAGGGGAGTAGTAATATAAGAACACAAATGCTTTTTTATAATTATGCACAGACATTATTAGTCTAACAATGTTCACTGTACCCATACTCCAATAGATAGTTAACTTTGCAATTCCCTAAGGTATTTGATATATATATATATATATATATATATTTGATAACCTATATGCTATAACTGACGTCTTTCATTTATTGATCTTTCTATTTTGACAGATCTCTGGGAAGCAATAAAAACTATTGTAGTGTTACTTGTAATAATAGCTTCATAGAGATCTTTGGTTGGAGAGTGTGGCTTACGGCCATATCGTTTTGAAACATTGGTTCCTGTATGATTATCAAAGTTAAGCAACATTGAGCCTGGTCAGTACCAAGATGGGTGAACACTTGAGAATATCAGGTGTTATAAGCTTGGATGTGCTGGTGGTGTAATTGTTGATCAGAGAGATGAGTTCAATTGGATTCATTATATTCACTTTCATGCAAATGCCATTGGGAAAAGTATGAATCCACTTCATCCTATGTATAGGTTAATTAGTAAGACTTGTATCACTAAATCATTATTATCTCCAAAATGTAACAAAAAAATTTATCTCCTTTATGTAAAAAAAAAAAAAAGAAAAAACTTTTTTTTTTTTTTACATTTAAAAGTTACATTTCAGTATTTTCAGCATTTTCTTATCATATTCTCCTTTACATCAGATACAAAGACAAAATTTACGAAACAAAACAGAAAATAAGTTTTGATATAACAAAGCATGTAATACTACCAATTCAATAGAAACAATTGAAAAAAAAAGAATCTTCTCTAATCTATAAAATTAGTCACAATTACTTCAAAAACAATAAAATGTAGTCAACACAAATCAAAATAATAACATTAAACTTGCAACAGGAATTTACAAATTATGTTGGAGCAATACTTCAAAGCATTAAGTTAATTTCAAAATTTTTTTTGAGGGAAAGATGTATGATAAAATGGAAAAAGGTTTTGCATGATACATTTCATCCTTTAGGACTTTATTGAACTAAGTTTAGGTTTACACTGATGTGACTGCACATGCACAAGAGACACTGGGAATTTTAAACTTAAAGATGATTTTTTTCATTATGTGTTTTGGATATATAATTTAGCCAATTTCACTTAGATTCTTTTTCTTTTTGTTTCCATCACTTGTTATTAAATATCCCACATTGTGATAATAGAAGATCTGCCAAGAATGGTGAAATGTAAGAACTTGGACACAAATTTACTGTGGATTGTCTAGCAATTAAAGGACTTACTAAACATTTTAGTCTTATTGAATTGTTTTCTCTTTCAATTAGAGTATTTGTTATATCAAATTACATTGAGATGAATTTAATGTGTTTTATAAAATATCCCTTTTGAGTTCATATACACTTTTATTTAAATTTCTTGAGGTTCTTCAAATGTATTTTTTATGGCAATTATTACAGGTAAAAGAGTAAATTCCTCCTTCAAGTTTTAGCTTGTTGTTTTGCTTTGTATTAAATATTTTATTGCTTTAGACATAGATTTATTCAAAATGTGTCATTTTGACTCAATATCTTTTGCCATCTTTGAGACAGAAGATGTAATTGCAAGCATTTGTAGGGAATCATTTCTCATTGATGTTGTAACCTTGGAAGAATGCAATCATCAAACTGTAAGTCAGGCATGAATCCGAGCTGTAACTTATGTGGATATTGCATTTGAGGATATTATTGCCTTTGTAACAGATTTTGCAGCCTATTGCAAAAAGAGCTCATAAGGAAGTGTTGTCAAATGTTTTTGTTAGCAGTTGCCATGTTTTGTGCTTAGCACATATTTTAAATCTTGTTGGTGAAGTATTTTCACACTGGTCAGCATTTGATAATGTTACCCAGCTAACTACTTTAAAGTTAGCCTTTTTGTAAAAAAGCCTAGTTAAAAAAAGCGATACTTAAAATGACTTGAAGGTTCCTTGCCTAAGAAACAAGTGAAACTACTCCCTGTACCAGAGGCAACCAGATGGAATTCCTGGTTTAATGCAGTCAAATATCACTCATCCTTTGTACAGTTTTATGAAGGGTTCTTTAAGCAAGAAAAGAGCCATGGCTTTGCATTAGATAGGATTCTACAATTAGTAGATTATGGTCGACTACATCATGCCTCATATCATAATTTGCACCTAAATCTGCATTTTATAAATGAGAACTGCACTAGTTTAATAACAGCTTTGACAAACTTAGAAGAAACTAAGTCTCCACTTGCATGTGTTGTATATAACATGATGGAGGATGTAAAATAGTAGTTGCATATTGGTACATCAAACTCAACATTTGGCCTAGAAACTGATTGTCTTCTGTCTGATTTAGAAAACAGAGAGGGAGAGTGTTATTTCAAATTTCCAAGATTTTTTCAGCACATCTTTTTCTAAACTGAATAAATAGCTGGATACCCACCCTACGTATAACTTTTACAAGGCAGTTCACCGGTTTGATCCTAGACAGCTAGGTAGCTTATATAGGCCATGATTTAGACAGTTTTGCAGCCATCAAGACTTCATTCAGATATTTATTATTGAGATTAAAGTTATTTGCAGTTGATACTTTGCATGCGATTTTTATATTATGAATCAATAATTATAAATTAATCTAAATACTTTTATTAAAAAAACAAAAACAATTTGAATGTGTTTTGAATGTGTTTTGAATGTGTTAAAGAAGGAAGCTCTGATTAAAAGTTCAACCTCAAAGATATGCTCTGTAACATTCCATTGTTTTATTGTCTAGTCATGTTACATTTTTTTATTTTTACATATCACTTATTTTTGGAATTAGATTTTAACATTTAAAAAAAGATTTGTAGATATTTGCTATTTCTTTATATGCAATAAAACTTTGAATTATGTTTTTGTTTTCAGTTTTAATAATAATTATAGCATATTGTATTGCAATTTTCTCATAAAATACTATAAAAATGGGGAAAAATGAAATTTACAAAACTAAAAATGGAAAAAAATGAATTTACCAAAAGTGGCAATGGAATCAAGGAAAATTTGAAATGGAAAATCAGGGGCCCCCACAAATGCAAGAGTTGGGAGTGAGGGCCAAAAAATTAGCTGCCTTGGCTTTCCCGAAGAAGTTAGGGAAAATGTTACCATACAAACCCAGTTGATTGACCTGTAAGTGGAAGCACTCCAAAATGAGCACATAAGGGATGGCATAATTAAGGAGGCTCCAGTCAAGCTGTTGGTGGCTATCATATTAGCTAAGGATAGTGGAAAAATCTGGGAGAAGGTGAGACGCAGGTTGAGAGGTAGGCAGACAAAGTGGGGGAAGGAACCCCTCCCCCACGTGGAATAGGAAGGTGAAGCAGGAAGTGATAGACCCAGAGGTATAGGAAGAGGTTGGATGTTGGAGCATGGGTTTTATAAACCCATACTTGCTAGGTTGGGGCTGGTATGCTGGACCTGTAACTATGAAGGCCACAGGGCAGTGGACTGTCCCACAAAGTGGGGATTACCCCATGATTTCAACAAACCAATATGCACTAGGTGCAGTTGTCATGGCCACATGACAAAATGGTGTGTGATAAAGAAGAAAAGAGAGCCTCTCATCAACAGACACACCCCTAGCAGACAGGACCAGGGAAATGCCAGTGGGCCACCCCAAAAGTAAAAGGGAGGGTAGCTCAGTTTTCAAAGGGAAAGGAGTGCAGGTTGGTCATTTTGTCGTGAACTGCCCTGGAAGAAGGTGCTGGTTCTGTAACAAACCAGGTCACTTGAAAATAAACTGCGCCTATAGAAGTAGGAGGAATGAACTTCAGAATCCCCACCTGGGACACCACGACACAGAAAACCACCCTGTGATAACGATAATAAGGGACCATTGTTGCCAGCACCCACATTTGGGTGGGCGGAGTTTCATCGTTCCATGAGGAGGACGACTAAGGTATTCTCCATGCAAACCCTGTGAAGCAATGGTAAGCAGATCTACAATTAGGGCCTTATTAGATGTTGGTCTCTTTAATAAAAAGAATACATATAAAAGCCTGAGGAATCAGGGGTGGTTGAGAAGATCTAACAAAGATTAGTCAGGCAGATGGGAAGCCAATAAGGATAAGGGAGATGGTAAGGCTCCCAGTGAGAATAGGAGGGACAAGGAATGTTCACAACTTCTGTATAACCCCAAATCTCTGTGGAAATGTAATCTTGAGGAAGGATTGTTTGCACCAGCATAGAGCACACAAAATTCAACCATACTGTATTAATAATAGATGATGTAGAGACACTGTTGGGAAGCACCCCTGATGAGTCAGTAGCAGTAGTAGTTGATGAGGACAAAGTTACCCTCCCTAGAACAGCAGTGTCTGGCAGAGGTAGACTGATGATAAAAGAAAAGGTTAGGGAGGAAGTTTTTCATCTAACTCCAGCAGACAAGTACAGCCCTGAAAAAGACGAAGTAGCAGAAAACGACAGTAATAGAGGCAGCAGAAATAGTATCTATTATGTTGGCCAATCAGGCCAACAAGACAATAAAGATAAAGAAGGGAGAAGAGGTAGGAAGGGTCCTCTCACTAAGATCTATAAGATGGTAAAATTTGACATGAAGGGAAAGAAAGGACCAGATCAAGTAGGGGGAGTGAAAAATGAAGAAATAGTGGACCATATTCAGGCCAGTTTCAGGAATGGGATAATTGAAAGATCCATGTTACCCTGGAGCTTTCCCATAGTGGTGGTAGATAGAAAAGATGGTGGGCACAGAGTCTATGTTGATTTCAGGAAGTTGAATGCCATCTCAGAAAACCCCTAGCAGTACCTCTGCCAATTATAGATGACATACTGGCCCGGCTGGGGTAGGCTAGATACTTCTCCACTATAGATTTTAAGATGAGGATATTGGCAGGTGGCCCTTGATGAGGCCAATAGAGAGAAGGCTGTTTCAGTTTAGGGTCATACCGTTTGGTTTGACCAATGCCCCAGGTATTTTTCAGCAGTTACTGTCCATAGTGCTAAGCTTAATTGAAGATTTCACTAAATGGCCTATCTGGATGATATTCTGGTGTTCTCAAAGACACCTAAACAGCATTTCGACAACTTGGGTTGACTAAGAAGGCACAGATTGAAGTTGAAACTATCAAAGTGCCAGTTCTTAAGAGAGGAAACCAAATACCTGGGTTTATATCTATAGATAGGAAAGGGATTAAACCCAATCTAGAAAAAGTAGAAGTAATAAGGGAAATGCCTGAGCCAAAGATGGTGAAACAGGTGAGGGGCATCATAGGCTATTACAGATGATTTATCTCAGCATTTTCTAGGTTGGCAACTCCTTTAATAGCATTGAAAGCATCCTAGGTTCAGGTAGACAGAGGACTGTCAGACTGCCTGAAAGAGCAGTTGACTGCTATTCCTTTGCTGACATAT